ACTTTTTTTTCTTTTCATAAGACAATTTATTATGATACATAATTCAAGAAAATATATTTCTATTAATGCACTAAGAAATACGTAACTGGCGTTAGTTATAAATGCCGATCATGTCTTTTCAAGATATATAACGTGGAGTTTCTAGAAAAAGTATTGATAATCCTGAATATGGCTTGTGTTTACGTTGAATGTTTGCAATACGTACACTGATTGCAGTATTTAGTTACTTACTTCCCTATGTAGTGAATATACGCGGTTAATCATTTGAACATTCTCAATGGTGATAATGAACAGTTCTACTTAATATGAGCTTCAATAAATAAAAAAAAAATGTGCCGAAATAAAACAGTATCAGATCAAAATTTGATCAGCCCATGTAACTGCATGTCAAATAGAAGGCGAATAAAGTTTCCTGTGTTAGAAAAGGAAGTCTCAACATAAAACTGCCTATCCATTTTTCATCGTGTAAATTACATTTTAATTTTTTCTTTTTTTTTAATATCTATTATTTCTTTTAAAACTATAAAAATAAAATCAATAAGTCAAGGTAAAATAAAGGTGTTTTCTTTGTCTTCACGTTTGATACCACTATCCTCATATGTATATGATTTAAGAGGGTACGCCTTTTAAGAAGTGATTCACTTATCCGGACGATTCATTTATCCGGACGATTTCGTTGGGGACGGAGGTGTCCGGATTAACGAGGCGCCACTGTACAAAGTGACAAATGTGAGTTGAACAAAATAATGTAGAGTATATTCACATATTTCTAAGTATTCATTGCTGACTTTCTTTTCTGGTGTCAAAGCACTTTTTCAAAAAACAACATATCTTTCTAGCAGTTGTAATATTTGTAGGATTGACAATTTTTCCAATGGGATTATCACTAGTATATGTGTTTACATTAAATATATCAGTATAATTGCATCTAAATTGGTCATACTTTGAACAGTATAGAACAAAATGTTTTTCATCTTCAATAAATAATTTACATGAATAGCATAAACGTTTTTCTCTAGGAATAGGGGGTTTACAGTATCTGCCCGTTTCAATATACAATGGATGGGCACTGATCCTTAATTTTGTTAATACAGATCTAAAACTTTTCTTTAAAGGCAGCTTTAAATAACTTTGCAATTTGTATTCATTTTGAATTACAATTTTACTATAAAAAGCTAACTTTCCAGAGTTTGATTTGCCTATATTTTTCAGTTGTTCATGTATTTTGTTTTGGTAATGCTCTTGTAATTTGTTTTTCAAGGTTGTGTGAGAAATATCCAAAGAAGTGATATTTAATTTTTGTAGTAATGAAGACAGTTTTCTTTGCAAAGATATTCTAGATACAAGTTTTTTGTCTTCTTTAAATGCAGAAATCACTAAATAATTATTATAATCATGTTTGTTTTCCATTTCCTTAAGTCTCTTAAAATACTTAAACATATAATCATAACATAAATAGTACAAAGGAAAACAACCCAATTCACATAAAACAGCAAGATTTGATGCCTTTCTATGTACCCCTAGTATGTCTTTAAATATTAAGTGTTGTGTTTTTTCAAAAGGAAATTGGTCTGAAGACATTAAATCACATTTGAAGTCAGTTATCCATACTTCAGATCCATATGTAATAATTGGTATTATCATTGACTGGTATAATTTTAACATAATTTCAGCTGAAAAATTAATGTTTGCAGGAAAATTTGATTTAATAGCATAATATGCTTTCCTAGCATGTTCTGCTAGTTCACTGTTCAGCTGCAAATTTCATTTTTCCATCAGATCTGAACACAACACCCAAATATTTATATCTTACGCCATTTCCATCTTATTTGATTATCGATTATGATACAATTCGACACGGACGTCTGAGAAAACAGTGGATTGAAATTCAAGTTTGAGGTTGGTTTTCAATCCACTCAAGCTGATTTCACAGACAAAGTATTAATGTATGCTTCAAAAGTCAAATAGGTTCAATTCCCGAATAGTTTGAAAATTATGTAGATAAGAATTTTCAATCCAATTTCAAACGTATAGATGTATTCTTTCATGGGGCGGCCATTTGATTATAAGGGGGGGGGGGGTTTAAATTTATTTATGTCCATGCCTTCAGAATACATCGTTTATTTATTTCAAGGATGTCAAGAGATTTTATCTTATTTCAGTCTTCTTCACAGAAAAATGGTTGACAAGCAAAAACGGGAAAAGGGGGAGGGGGCTTTCCAAGCTCAAAAACTTTTTGCTTATTTTTAAGGACTAGCCCCCCCCCCCCCCCTTCGAAATCAAATGGTCGTCCTCTTATTATTTCTTAAATCAATTTCGAAATAGTTTGAAATTTATATAAATCAGAGTTTTCTGTCCAATTTTTTTTTTTATGATTGAATATTATCGGCTTTAAACAATATTAATCAATCAATCATAAAACAAAAACATTGGACAGAAAACTCTATCTGATTTTTATAAATGTCAAACTATTCCGAAATTGACATTATATGTCTTCTGGATCTATCATTAACACAGTGCGTACAAGAGTAGCTGAGGTGGATTGAAAATGAATTTCAATCCCATGTTTTCTCAGACCCATTCTCTATCATCAAAATGAATGTTTTGACTCTAACAGATGGAAATGACGTAAGCAGCATATTTTCAATCTTGCCATTTAATGATGTCGGAATGATTTGACCTTTGTGATCTAACTTCACCTGCTGGACATAGAAATATAGCCGTCAGTCACGTGTCATATTCAAGCTTATTAAAGCTCGTCATTTCAATCCCATGAGAAAAGGAATTCCTTGTAGCATTGCGCTTGATCCGATATTGACCTTTCTGCATGGATTCCTGGAATTAAAAAAATCTCGCGAGAGATTAATTACTAATATGTTTACAGCGATTGTCTGGTTTCCAACTCAGATTTACGAAAAGTTCTAAAATAAAAAAAAAAATTGATCAAAGAGATACTTGTACTGCTCTTGGCTCTTTTCTATATAATTATGCACATTTAACGGAGCTGGGCTTTTTTTTTGAGCAAAGTGAATTACAGTTGCATTAAATCTGAAATTGAAACTGAATATCTCGCGAGACTTGAATTTATGTTTATGCAATTATGGTCACCTATTCATCTTCCTCCGTGACATCAGCTAACCTGACATCTTAGCTTTTCATATTTCGATACAATAAAATGGACATATAATTAAATAATATGTCCAACACACATTTATTTTTTTTGTATATGGCAATGCAGTTAATATCCATTTAATGTTTGAAACCCCATCTGTGTACTCGACTCTCTTCATAGGCAGCTTAGCCATTTTCATAGTTATTATTTTAAAAATATCACTTTCTTGGAATCTTGAAATTACAGAACATGAGTTGTATTTTTGGTTGTTACCACACGATTGGATTAGAAACATTTTTTTTTCTCTAAAAGCAGAAAGGTGTGTGTGTAAGGGTGTGCGTGTGTACTTTTTCCGAAAGGTCATGTACAAGTCAACGGAACTTTCAGAAAATGTCGAGATATCCAGGGTGTCGAGATATCAGAGTTGAAACTCGACGTCCAAGCAGGGCTAATTTATTACAATAATCAGTTAAAAAAACCAAAAAAAAAAACGCTTTCTTACATATTATACGGTCATCAAAGTTTTGCACGAATCTGGTTTTTTTTTTCCTTTTTTTTCTTTTGCTAAAATCATCACTGTTGCTTTAATTTTCATCTTTCCCATAATGTATAGATTTCTTGACTGACTTTGTGCCTTCCGATTGGTGTGACGTGGTTGATGATTTTGAACATTTTTTTTTATAATATCTGAATTACACCCATAACCACTTGTTACATGTAAAAGTATTTTTTTTCCTTTTAGATCAGTGATTCATTCTCAAAAGATGTTGCATATGAACTTTTATCAGAAGTTCAATCATACTTTCTTTACAGCGTAATCTATTGTTTCTTCTTTTTCATACATATTTTCAAGCATAATTAAAATGTAAATGTTATTTTCTAATGCACACAGTATAATGCTCTTGAAGATCCATTATTCAAATTCTTTTATGGCAAAATTTTTTTACTTATTTATTCATTTTGCAAAAATTTGTGCCCCAATCCTCTGTTTAATTGTGTGTTAATTTAGTATAGAATTATTTATATAGGGGCTGTTTGTCCCATCCCCTCCCCCCCCCCCCCCCCCCCCAAAACAATCATTTGGAAATCGACGCTACACCTGAGCCTGTGTAATCGATTAACTAGGGAATAAAATGGCTTAATACATTTTATAAGTTGTTATTCAAAATAAAGAACCACTTATAATATAAAGCACATGTATCTCCCCCCCCCCCTTTCTCAAAAATATGTATGCATGTAGGCACGGAGAAAATAAGTGTAAAACTTTCCGGCAACAATGAAACATAAAATTGCTAATTGAAAGTGCGCCATACTTTATTCACAATACTAGAGTACTCCAAAACTGACATCATTATTTAACGTCAACGTAAGAAATATGACGTCATATTTAGACCCAGTACCTATGTAAAAATAAAGACCTATACTTGTGTCAAAATATAAATATCATTGTGTTTAATTACACGTAAGATATATGGTTAATAAAATAAAATGTAAAACATCTATTAAAAACGACATTTTTGTCAGTTTGGCGTTCACAGTAAACGACATTTATGTCGCTTTGGCGTCGATAGGGTTAATGTCCCTACACTCCTTACATACCAGGTACCAAGTCAATAGTATCAAGCCATGAACCTTTATCACGCTGGAGTACAGGATCCTGTACGAAAAAGGCTCAATTAAACCCTGTAACACAGTATGCTTAAAATAATTAAAAATTGTTCATTTCTTGATATAACTTTGGTACTGATAATTTCTTTGAGTATGGAGAATATTATTAATTATATGTAATTGAACTAGAGTGTGTATTTTTAGGCTTTGTTTGTTACACAATTCATACAGATTTTCTGAATAAATATTGTTTAAAGTTAATTGAATCTATGATTTTCAGATTGATCAGGATGTTTTGAGGGAGCTGCCACCAGACATACGAGCACAAGTTGAGAATGAGATGCAGCTCATGAGACGAGGCCCTCGACAGGCCAAACAAAGAGTGTCCAGTTACAGTGAGGAGCCAGGGTGTTCTCACTGGACCTCAGGGATATCTCCTGTTACAGAGGGTACCTCATCCATAGTACCTCTGCCAGACCTGTCCCAGGTTTGTTCTCCAGCTATTAAAATTGAGTTGTTTAAAGTACATGTATTTGCATTTTTATAAAGGTGTAAATAATTTGAATAAAGGTTACTGGTAAATAACTTTATTTATAAAGAAAAAATAATCAAAGTCTGAGGTATATGTAGCAGTTTATGATTCCTTTTTTGTGATAGACTTAGGAGGCAGTACACATGTGTTCATAATCTATAAAAATAAAAAAAAAAGTCTGAAATAGACAAAAAAAATCATCCTGACATGTGGATGTTCCTTATTTTCCTGATATAAGTTTATCTTTTTGTATAAACTATAGCTTGATGAAAGCTGTCTGAATGCACTCCCAGAAGACATGCAGAAAGAAATCCAAGATGCATACGAACATCAGCAGCAACAGAAACAGAGTCTTCAGTGTTTATCCAATGTACTGAAATCCCCAAGAAAGTCCTCCCCTAAGGGAAAGTCACCTCGTAAAACTAGCCCACAATTCAAGGGGAGATCACCAGGGAAATACAGCCCACAGTTCAAAGTTCCCAAGGGTCGACCAGGGAGAGGGCGTCCCAAAAAGCTGGATTTCCATCAGAGAGGGCAACCCTCAATTTTGACAGCAGTTACTGGGAAACAGGTTATACCTGATTTTTACTGACCACACTTTAGATAAATCTGAACATGGTACTTCCTTATTTTCATGAAATAATAGTATTACTAATAATCAATAAAAATATTATACATACTACTGAGGGTTCCTAAATATATGTGAGGTATTATCACATAACTTCACAAGAATCATCACTCGTGAAATAAAGTTACATTTATTTTTATACTGTTATGGAAAAATTCTTGATCAACAATTCACTTACAAATTCATGTTTTATTTTATTTAAAGTCTTTGAGTCATTTTGCAATATTAAATACTCGCTTTAAATAAGGAATCTACAGTTTTTCCTTAAAATTGCCTTTTTTATTTTTAATCACAGGAAGTATTGAAGGAAGACCTCATGCCAAGTGAACAAAGATCAAGAGGAGAGGAGGAGAAAATCAACAACAGTGTAAGAGACCAGCCAATGGAAGTCGAATCTTTGGAGTCAAAGGAAACACGTGTCAATCTCTGTGGTGCTGTAACTATTGCAGAAGTCAGATCTCTACTAAAGGAGTGGATCCACAGTTCTCCAGGTAAAATGAGTACTGTGTAGTTGAGTTAGAATGAAAATCTGAGTCAATGAAATACTAAGGAATTTTTCGATTCACAAACTGTAGTTGCATTATTATATAGTAGATACCTTATATAGGAAAATTTTGTCCCACTTTTATTTTTGCCCTTTTCCCCTTGTCCTGGGCAATTCAAAAGGGGATAAATTCATAAAGGACAAGAGTTATCTCTATAACACAAATGCATCTGGGCAAATTCAAAATGGGGAAAATTGTTTGCAAATGTTTTTGGCCAAAAATAACATGGGGCAAGAATAACTGAGTGTACAATACATGTATTGCATAACGTATTAAAATCAGGTCCTGAAAGCTTTCCATTTTCAAACCATTTTATTTTAATTAAAAGTAAATAGGAATCCAGTCATCAAAATGATTTTTATAAAGATTTAAAATTAATATGATAACTGGAATATTGGGATAACCCTTGAATTTGCTTCATTTCTAATTAAAGTTTCTTTAATGTGTTTTTTATTGCTTTTAGGAATATGTTTTGTTGTGTATTGAAGGTTTTCCTCAATTTAAAATGAATTTCCCTGTTATTTTACTAACATGGTTTGTTTTTTGTTTAATGTCCCTCTCGAGAATTTTTTTACTCATATGGATACTTGCCGGTGAAGAGCTGCAAATTTTTACCTATACTCAGCACTCAGGGCCATTATTGAGTAGTGAGGGATCTTTTTCATGCTAGCACCTACTGCGATATGGGACCTCGGTTTATAATTATATACGGTCTCATCTGAAGAGCAGACGCTCTAACCACTGCGCCACACGGGCGACATACTATAAACATGGTAGTATTTGCTGCATTTGTCTGTCAGTCTGTCCATCTACCTGTGACCCAAAATTCGAGTTAAGTTTCAATCTGTGGACTTCATATTCATCTTAGGTGGAATCTATGTGGAAAATGATTAACAAAAGAAAGGGCAAAATTAGAAGTTAAAAGGTTATAAACATTGACACTTTGTCTAAAACTAGGACTTTCAAAAGACTCTATGCTAAAAAAAAATCTTTCTGCATGTATGTCTTAACTTCTTTGCTCCCTGACTTTTTTTTTAACTTTTCTAAAACATAAATGTTTGTTTTGACATTATCAAAAGTATGGAAGCATACCGTATATACTCGCCTATAAGTCGGTTGTATTTTTAAAGCTTAAATTGAAGGGATTGACCCACTAATATAAAATACCTGTCTTTTTATAACTCGTATAAGTCAGATAATGAGTTTTGGATCAAAGTTTAACTCCCAAAAAAACGACTAATAGGCGAGTATATACGGTAGTTTCATGCAGAAATAAAATTTGATTTAGCAGATAAGAGAAATTCCATCTATAACTTAATGTGATGGAATAACTTGATTTCAGACTTCCTACATTATTGAAGGATTGTAGAAAAATCATCATTTAGAGTTCAAGACTAAAGTAAAATAATCCTTGAATTAACATTAAAAAAAATCTGAATCTTATATTTCAGAGCCTGAAGAAAATGATAAACAGGTGATGATTACCTACCTTCAAGATCTGATCTTGGATAAGAACCTGGAACAAGTTGATCTTGTTATCAAATTTCTAAAAAGGTAAATCATAAAATTCACTTCATTACATATTTTATTCATTGCTCTCTATTCTTTTTAATGGTTATTTGAGTAGATTTATATTATTATCAAGAAATTATTCTGTTAGACATGAAGGAAAAGTGTTGCAAAAATAAGGTTGTTTTCAGAAAATCTTACACTTATGTATCATTATAATGATTATATATACAGTGAAACTTGTCTAATTCAAATGTTGTGTATTCCGAAATCTTGCCTAATACAGTCAATTTCATGTCCCTTTCAATGAATTCATTTGATTAAAATGTTGACTAATCTGGAATGTTGTCTAATCTGGCCAATTTCTTTGGAACCAGTGGTGTCCGAATTAGACAGTTTCACTGTATATACATGTATATATATATACATATTAGGGATGTCAATGAATACCCAGTTAACCAGGTACTCAATTGAACAGTCGAGTATTGAATACTAAAATCGATACTCAGTTACTCAAATGTATTTTTTTAATGCTTCAAAGTGCATATATTTATTAAAAACTTATCAAGAAATGTGATTAAAATATGCATTGTCCATGTCTATACAGTAAATAGCATCACCTACACCATATAATGCACGTTATTGCCTGTGGCTGTGGACATGTATATACAGTAATTACCGCAACAAATCACTGGACACCGTACAAGCTGTTCTCACCTCTTGTGACTCTAATTTTTGGTTGGATGTAACTATTTGTTTTCAGTAAACATCATTTAATTATCCTTAGGTTATTTAATTAGCATACAGTAGCGAAATCAGACATATATAGATACATACATAGAAATACTGCTACCAGTTCACAAGTGATGAAATATTTTAGGAATGACTCTAATTCTTGGCCAAATTATTCGAGTATAACCTGGTTTGGGTCAGTTTACGCTTTATAATCCGCGAAGCGGATTATAAAACAGCGTAAACTGACCCAAACCAGGTTATACTCGAATAATTTGGCCAAGAATTAGAGTCATTCCTTATAATTTAATTTTAAAATCATTAAATAAATATGGGTGTAAAATTTCGTTGCTTTTTATTACTTCAAATTTGCTGCTCAATAATACAACCGTAGTAACGGAAGTAACGGAAGTGATGGGAAGCGAGGGGAGGTAAAAACTGATACATAGGTCTAGCAGCTTGTTTACATGTGGTAAGATCGAATTATTGTTTGAAGTTAAAGGTATATTTATTAAATCTGGAATTTTCCATGAATCCCGAGGACTGGAAATGAAAGGATTGTATGCATACAGATGATTCAGCTGGTTGTCAGGGGGGTGTGTCCCCATACCAAACCAGGTTATACAGAAATAATTTGTGTTCCTTTTTGGATATTAACCAATCAGAGGCTAGAATACAAACAAAATTAAATTATTTAAAAATAACTGAAGGTTAAAAATTTTTTTTAAAGTTTGCTGTGCATAGTAAATTTAATAATGGGTGAAGTTGGAAATATCAAGAAATCAACATACTTAAATTTCAGAGTTATCACAGAGAAAACATTTAGAAATGTAAATAATATAAGACTTGCGAGCACGACAACGTCCATTCCCAAAGATATTCTCTAATTATTACAAAGTTGCGTCCTTCACATCAATGGGGTAAACAGGTCCCAATAAAATCAACATTTTTTTTACATGTATACACACTTTTTCCGACTACCCGGGTACTCGATCAGAAAATCGTCTGAATAACCGATTATCAAATATTGACTGATTTGACATCCCTTATATATATATATATATATATATATATATATATATATATATATATATAATTCAAAAGTAGTTAAAAGATGATGTCACACAGTAAAAATAATCGTAAAAGAAAAAGAAAATGCACAGTTTCCAAATTTCATTTAATTTGTTTATAAACTTAGGAACAATTCAGCCGTAATGAGAATAGTGAAAGAGAATTACTTTATAAATCTATTTTCACCAAAACTGAACAAACATTAATATTTTGATAAGTTCATGTCTTTTTTGTATAATTAATTTCTTAAATACTTTGTTTGTTGAGACTGAGAAAATCATGATTTATTGTCCAATTCAATTTTCCTGAACTTTTACGTTATACTATGACATCATGGATTTATTCCTTCCTTGCAAAGACACTCATGACGTCATAGTTAACGTTACCAAGCAAAACAAATCAGTTCAAAGTATGTACACCTGAAGACGGATTGTTAAATCCAGAAAGCGCTTGTGTTAAATGAAATTTGGAAACTGTGCATTTTCTTTTTCTTTTATGATTATATATATATATATATATATATATATATATATATATATATATATATATATATATATCACATGGCTTCGAGGGTGACATACCAGAATGTTTGCCCCAAGGTGACAGGAAAGTCCTGGAGTGTTATGTCACTCGATGCCGAAGGCAGAGGGTGACATAACACTCCAGGACTTTCCTGTCACCGAGGGGAAAACATTCTGGTATAGTCACCCGAGAAGTCATGTGGTATATGTTATATAACATTTTTAAATTAAAAAATTGTCTAGAATTGTTAAAGTTTAGGCAAATAATCCAAAAATGCTTTCATGATGTTAAGAATTACACTCCGTTGTTTACGTTTGCCTAGCAACCAACAGCATTAAATCTCAAACCCGAGTTACAAATGCGTAACATAAAGACACATGAAAGTGATCGAGAGGGTGTTATAACTGTTTCCGTCGGATGATATAACTGTTTCCAGCATGTGACATAACTGTTTTTGGTGTGATTCAGCATTCTTCAGGGTTAATAGTGAAACTTATTACATTTGTGATATAATAGGAAAACTTATATATATATTCTCTCTTTCAGACGCATTAAGAAGATGGATAATTCAAGCTGGGAAACTTCATTTAAAATGATATTATCAGAAGTTCAGTCATTTATGAAAACTTATCATGGAGCTGAATTGAATGTCTGTTAGTACTGCTGCTGTAAAACTGGCCAAGTTTTACAAATCACTGTAAAGCTATGGAGAACCTTTGAAATATGTGATACAACAGTGCAGCTACTGAAAACTGGCAGCAAATGGTGCTCTGTTTAGTGACAAACATTTGACATTGTTTTCAAATTGTGATAGGTTCAAGTGAGGTTTTCTGATCTTCTGCTGTCCATTGTCATTGTGTCTGTTAACTTTTTACATTTTCAGCTTTTTCTCTTTAACCAATACACAAATTTCAAGATTATCTCCCTTGGTGCACTCTCTCATTACAGAGGGGAGTTTTGTTTCCGCTTAAACCTGCAAGTGGGACAGTTTATAAATATTGGATACCCTACAGCATGGATATGCCTGTCTATCATACTAGTATGCACTCTTCAACAAAAAGATTACCGAATATAAGTAAAGGTGTCAATTTCTTTTTCTACCAAAAAATATCGGAACAAAAGAAAATATCAGTGGATAAGACTTATCAGATGAGGGAAGAGATATGGATTTCTAATAAATAACATGCATGATGCATCTTATCATTGCACGTCGGCATTCTGAATGACACACTGACTATTTCCCTTATAATAATTTCAAAGAGCCCACTAACTTTTTAGCTCACCTGAGCTGAAGGCTCAAGTGAGCTTTTCTGATCGAAATTTGTCCGTTGTCTGTCGGTGTTGTTGTCATTGTAAACTTTTCACAATTTCATCTTCTTCTCCAGAACTACTGGACCAATTTCAACCAAACTTGGCACAGAGTATTCTTGGATAAAGGGGATTCAAATTTGTTCAAACAAAGGGCCATGCCCTCTTCAAAGGGGAGATAATTACAAATTAGTGAAAAATTAATGGCATCTTTTAAAAATCTTCTTCTCAAGAACCACTAGGCCAGGAAAGATGAAACTCATAGGGAATCATCCTCAGGTAGTGTAGATTCAAATTTGTTAAAATCATGACCTCAGGGGTTAGGGTGGGGCCACAATGGACAATCAAAGTTTTACATTGAAATATATAGGAAAAATCTTAAAAAACCTTCTTCTCAAGAACCACTGGGTGAGGAAGGATTAAACTCATGTGGAATCATCCTCAGGTAGTGTAGATTCAAGTTTGTTCAAATCATGACCCCCGGGGGTAGGGTGGGGCCACAATGGACGATCAAAGTTTTACATAGGAGGAAATTTTTTTTTTAAAAAAAAATCTTCTTCTTAAGAACAGCAAAGCCATAATTTTTCATATTTGTATGGAAGCATCCTCAGGTGGTGTAGATTCAAGGTTGTTCAAATTATGACCCCAGAGGGTAGGGTGGGGCCACAATAAACGATCAAAGTTTTACATAGAAATATATATATGAAAAATATTTTCAAGAACAGCAAAGCCATGATTGGTTATTAACTATTCAGAAGCATCCTAAGGTAGTGTAGATTCATATTTGATAAAAATCATGAACCCCCCCCCCCCCCCCCCCCCCCCCGGGGATAGGGTGGGGTCACAATTGATGATTAAAGTTATGCATAGGAATACATAGAACCTTTTTTTTTTAAAAAGATCTTGTTCTCAAGAAGAGCAAAGCTATGATTGGTCATATTTATATGGAAGCATCCTCAGATTGTTTAGATTCAGATTTGTTCAAATCATGACCCCCGGGGTATGGTAGGACCATAATGAAAGTTTTAACTTGTAGGGAAAAAAGTCACAGTTAGTCAAAGAAATATGTAAGTAGCTTTAGTTAGTGAAGATTCAAATTTGTTCAAATCACACACCCCCCTTTTAGGGGTAGGTCGGAACCACTTATGCATTAAAGCTTTTCAATACTGAACTGATTTTTGCTTTTTTCCTAGCCACAGTGCTCAGGTGAGCGATGTGGCCCATGGGCCTCTTGTTAGAAAAGGTTTGTACAATCAAGGAAGCGACTATTTCACAAAGACTATGACAATTCTTTTGTTTCGAAGTATCCTAATTGAAAATATATTTTGTGAAACATGAATCATTATTTGAATCATCGTTTGTGAATCATTACTGCTTGACATTTTCATCTTTCTATAACATTAAATGAATTTTAAATTACCTATTCATCGTTCATTTATTTATTCACATTTGTTACATCAACAGCCTGTCCCACTTCCATGCTGATATGGATACTTTTTGCGCCTCCATAGTTGGAGAGTTACAATCTCAAAACTTGCATATTGGCCAGTTTCAATCAAACTTGGCAGAGAGTATGCCTATTTAAAGGGGATTAAAGTTTGTTTAAATGAAGAGCCATGCCCTCTTCCAAGAGGAGATAATCAAGAAAAGACTAAAATAGGGGGTGAGGTCAACTAAAAATCTGAAGAACCAATGGGTCAGATGAAACTTATGTGAAAGCTTTCTGACATACTGTAGATTCTGACATACTGCAGATTCAAGGTTTTCAAATCATGCCCCGTTTCATAGGTTGGGGCCACAATAGATGCAGTGAAACTGCATGATTATAATAAGCAATGAGCCCTCTACCATAGTTTTGAAATTCAGGGCCTCTTGTTTCAGGGTTCAATTCCCAGGTTGGGGGTAAGTTGGTCAGATATTGAAATACACTACATCTTAAAAAAATCTTCTTCTCTACTCATTAGCATGCAAATTATTTCAATGATTATACACTGTAATAAACATTTAATCCTCAACCAATCATCTAATATTGCTAAATGGTTCAGACCCCAATGTAGAACTAAATAGGCCATATATTAACTGACTTATATATACCTTTGAGGACAATATGTGGTCAACATTTTTCATGTGAATATAGAAAAAAAATTCTATCTTCTTAAAAACAATAGAGGGAAGTTGATTCAGATGAGCAAAGTGGCCTTAAGGTCTCTTGTTCCTATGTCTTGTTCAGGCGTGTAGCCAGAATGGAAGTGAAGTGTACGCAGAGAACGACAGGGTGACGCCCTCTCTGGTGGGGGCCCAGGGGACGAAGCCCCCCCCCCCCCCCCCCCCCCCGAAGCCAAATATTTCAATCACTTTCTTGCAGGAAATATGCTGCTTCGCTTTTCCTTAGAAATAAAAAATCTTAGTAATATTGTTTTTAACGCAAAGTTCAACTTCCACGGAAACATTATAAATGTTCTTGTGGCTGGATATTTTACCGATACATTGGTATCGTCTGCATTTTTTTTATAGTAAAATGTTCAGCAACAAGTATGATAAATGTTAGTAAAAACTATTTTATTTAAAATATATACTATTTGATCAAGCCATTCAACGATATGATTAAAATTCATTTTCTCAACAAATATCTTTAAAAATTGTCAATCTGTTACAGAACACTTACAAACTAACAAATAATTTATTTGGATTTGGTAATATATATAATGCTTTTTATGTATTAGGTCACCTGAGTCACTAAGGTGATCTTTTGCTATCTGTTTTTGTTTATCATAGTGTAATGTGCCTTATTTCAGTATTAAACTTTTGAACATTTTCAGCCTCTTCTGTGGAACCACAGAACCAATTTCCATCAATTTTGGTAGATATCGTCTATGGGCAAAGGAAACAAAATTTTTGGAATTTTTGATTTTTTTTAAGTTTTGCTACTCCTACTGTTTCTGTCTGAACTCATTTAAACTTGCTTTAAAAAAAAATACTACACCAATGTACACCATTCATTGTATAAGTTTTTGATGATTTTTAATAAATTGGGTTGCTATGGTTACTAAAAAATAGAATAATATATTGGATTATCTCAAAATTCCATCCCTCCCTCAGTTTTTGTCTGATGTGTGTAAAGTTTGATACATAATTCTTAATGAATCTGTTTTTTTTTTATACTTGAGTAGACTGTTACAGTTCATAATTCTGTTTTATGATTTTGATGAAACTGATATTGCTATATTTACTAAGAAAGAAAAATGTGTGAAAATCTTTCAAAATGCTTCACTTTAAGCTGTGGTTTGATATTAATAAAACTTCATTAAAAAAAATTTAAAAAAACAAAAAAATTATAGGATTCAGAATGTTGTAAATGTAAAACTAAAGTCGGTGAAGACTAGGAAGTCTCAAGAGAGACTTTATCTTTACTTTCTAGGCCAAGTGCTTAAACAGAGTATTAAATCCATGTAATTACATATACATTTATTTACTTTAAAAATATATACATTTTTAGCTCACCTCAACAAAGTTGGGGGAGCTTGGCGTCGGCATCCCAGGTTAAGTTTTTGGAGCAGATTTGAGTACTTCTATGCCCTATATCAATCAGAGGTGCATGGAGGATGTCTCTAGTGTGTTTCATTGTACCAGTCAAGCTAGGTTTCAAATGCTGCAATTTCAGCTAAAGAATGACCAGGTTAATGTTTTTGGAGCAGGTTAGAGTTTTTGGAGCAGGTTAAAGTTTTTGGAGCAGATATCGTTTCCAAGTAACTATGAGTAACTATGTTGACAAAACTTGTATGAATGATACATCTAAGGATGCACACTACTGGACTTGCTTCAGATGCTGGATCTGACCTACATTTTCTGGATGAGTGACCAGGTTAAAGTTTTTGGAGCAAATCTCATTTCCAAGTAAATGTAAGTCCTATGTTGACCAAACTTGCATTGATGATACATCTAAGGATGCACACTACCAGGCTTGCTCCGGATGCTGGATCTGACCTACATTTTCCGTATGAGTGAAAAGGTTAAAGTTTTTAAATAGGTCTCATTTCCAAGTAACTATAAGCCCTATGTTGACCAACTTGCATGGATGATACATCTAAGGATGCACACTACTGGACTTGCTTTGGTTGCGGAATCTGACCTACATTTTCTGGATGAGTGACCAGGTTAATGTTTTTGAAGCAGATCTCATTTCTAAGTAAATGTAAGTCCTATGTTCATGATGTTGACAAAACTTGCATGGATGATACATCTAAGGATGCACACTACTGGACTTGCTTTGGTTGCGGAATCTGACCTACATTTTCTGGATGAGTGACCAGGTTAATGTTTTTGAAGCAGATCTCATTTCTAAGTAAATGTAAGTCCTATGTTCATGATGTTGACAAAACTTGCAAGGATGATACATCTAAGGATGCACAATACTGGACTTGCTTCGGATGCTGGAGCTGACCTACATTTTCTGGATGAGTGATCAGGTTAAAGTTTTTGGAGCAGGTCCATTGCCAAGAAGCTATAAGCCCTATGTTGACCAAACTTGCATGGATGATGCATCAAGGGACGAACACTTTCCAACTTGCTTCGGATGCTGGATTTGACCTACATTTTCTGGATGAGTGACTAGTTTAAAGTTTTTAGATAAGTCCATTCCCAAATAACTGCAAGCCCTATCAGACAAAAATTGTATAAATGTTGCATCTAGGAATGCACACTACTTGATTATTAGTTTATTGTGGGACTTTGCCTTACTTAAAGACAACATTCGTTGAGGTGAGCTTTGTAAGTTCTGATTACCTATGTTTTAATCTTCAATAGTGTTTTGACTTTCTATGTAAATGTTAATATATTTCTTGTAAACTTTTATAATGCATATAATATGTATCTTTTGGACTGGCAGAAATGGATGCTTAAGAGCTAACACTAATCCATACATTGTCACAGCATGTTCTAAGCTTTGACCACTGGAGAAGGTTAAAATAAAACTTCCAGATCAACTTGTATAAAGATGGTTGCAGGATGTATGGATTAAGAAACATAAATGATTTGAATGGTACATATCAAGGAGTCCAATATTATATCTTATATTTACTTGATTTTCACATTTCATTACCTAGTGTAAGCCAAAATCTTGAAAACTTGAGGTTATGGACAAAAGCATTACTCAAGTTTGCAAGATCACTCAATGTTGTATTGTTGTCTGGGGAGTCAAAATAATCTGCCCTGAGAATTCTTGCTTTTTAGGTGACCCGTGTCACCCAAGTGACCTATTAATTCAACCATCGTATGTAATCATTTGAACATTTTCAGCTTCTCCTATGGATGAATAAACCAGTTTTAATCAATTTGGTATATACACGTGTTATTTATGGGTACAGAGGAATAAAAAGTGAATTTATGGCCTCTGCCTCCCTGGGCCTGGGAGCTGGGGCCAAAACTATCAATATTTTGCAAACTTAAATTTAGTTGTTTGATGTAGATATAAGCCCAGCCCCTGTGTACTTTTACCATAAAGTATTTTGAATTTATTAATGATTGTAATCAACCAAAGTCACCAAACTTAAATAATCTTTATTATGACAATCATTTACTAAAAAAGACTTTACTACAAAAAGTATTCCATTTACCTTTATTTTCAAATTATCAGAAAAGAAAGTTGAGATAAGATTAGATAATTTTATTTTTTAATTTTGGGCCCAGAAGGCTTACAAGCTTTTTTACAATGAAAAGGTAGAAAGTTTTGTCAGTGAATGAAAAGTTACATACACACAGATAAACACACACACATATATACATGCATATACCAGTATATGATATAATCCATACGTCAAGTAACTTTAGGTGCAGCAGCTGGGGTTATCAAACTGCAATTGACATGTGGTCATAAACCTGTATTAACAATATGTACCACAATACAAACATTTTATGTTAACAGTACATACAATTAAGTAAAATACATACCATACAGTCTATATTTAAGTATTCAAAATTATCATTCTTGTAAACACATGGCCTTATGCCTTTTTTGAAAGCTTTGATAAGATATTCACTTACCTTTATAAGAATTAGTTTGTATTCATTAGACATTGTCCATATAAATTTGTCTCTTTTTGTTAATAATCTGAAATTTTTGTTAAGCAATGAGATATCCTGAAAAAAATATATTTCTCTCCTCATTATATAATGGACATTCAGTAAGAAAGTGATATTCATCTTCTATACAATTTTGATTACATACTAGACATTCTTTTGTTTCTCTGTAAAGGAATTCTTTGACTAGCATTTTGCTTGATGTGTCAGTGTGACACAATGCCCTCACTGACAAACAAGTTTTAAAAAAAATGTGAAAGTCTAAAAGTGCAGATATCACAAAGGATGGAAAAGGCACAAAAAATGAAATATCATATTGTCAAGGAACATGTTGGTCAA